ATGAGGGGGGGGGGGGGGGGGGGGGTTCATGTGAAGAAAGACAGCCATTGAGGTGGGAGGGGAGAGAGGGAGACCATGGGTTGAACTGGAGTATCGGGAACTATAAATGTATTTTTAAATATTTAGTCATCTACTTACATGGAATCCAATCCAGGTGTTGTAATTCCTAACCCCAGGGTCTTTTTTAAAGGAAATCCCAGATAGGCAAAGAGAAACCTTTTTTTAAAAAAAAAAAAATTCAGAATAAGCCAAAAATAATTTCCCCTTAATTCCCATTATTCCAGATGCATCTCTATTCTGCCCTCTTCCTAACATTCGAGTGTGTGTGTGTGTGTGTGTGTGTGTGTGAGAGAGAGAGAGAGATCAGATCTCACAATAAACAGCAGAGCAGACTTGTCAGAAGAATTCCCTCCCCCCCCCAATATGCATGAACAGGAAAGCTTATACCTGGAATAAAACTTAGTTGGTCTTGAGGGTGCCATGGGACTCTCTCTACAAACAAGGGAAGAGAGGCTAGGCAATGCAGCAGCAACAGCCCCAGAAGAGGAAGCAGGAGGGAGCTTTTTTCTGCTGCATGCACATGTGCTCTCTTTTTCCCTCCCCCTTGTTTCCCTAAGGAGGAAGAGAGGCTTTGGCACACAGCAGCAGCAATGGCCAACAAATGCAAGTACTTGTTTGTGGGCCGTGTACCAGCCCTACAGGGGCCAGATACAGCCCACGGGCAGTATGATTGACACCCCTTAACTAGAGTTTCATGGTTTCTCCCCGGGCTATCCTGAAGTTGTAAGGCTGGTTAGGAAAAGGGTAATTTATAGGGATGTGTATTCGGCTTTCCCGAACCAAAAAAAATACCGAATAAATACCTTATCGGTATTTATCAGTATTTTTAAAGCTGAATGCAAATTCAGGAAACTCTTCGGCTTTCGAATACAATTTCCTGAAATTGTTTGGCTTTTTCGGCTTTTGGGTAGCCGAAAACCAGCTTCCCTGGGGCTGCGGCTTCCCTAGTCAATTTCACTGGCCGCCAGTCAGCTGTGGGAGTGAAACTGACCAGGGAAAGCCTCCTCTCTCTGCCTTCCCTCCTCCAGCTGCCCCAGGGCTGCTGGAGAGGGAAAGAAAGGCATCTAAACATGCCTGGGTTCCCTGTCTGTGCTCCTCCAGGGGCCCCGCGGCTGCCCTGTGCTTTCCCATACCTCTTTCCCCCCCTGAAGAAGATCTCTGCTTTTGCAGAGAAGCTCGGGGAAGGGGGGAGGCGGTTTAAATGCCTTTCTTTCCCTTCTCCAGATTGGGACGGGAAAGAAAGGCCTTTTAAGCATGCCTGGGCTCCCTAGCTGAATCTCCTCCAGCTACCCTATGTCAGTTAGAGTAGGGAAGGCAGAGAGAGCCCAGGGTTTCCCTTTGTCAATTTCACTCACAGCTGACTGGCGGGGAGTGAAATTGTCAATGAAATCTCTTAGGACTATCGGAGGGAAAGAAGGCATTTTAACATGCCTACTTTCCCCCTGATGGTGTATATCAGACCTGAATATATTTGGGCAATACCAATTATTTCCCCAGCACTGATACTTTACTGTTATTGAACTGGGGAAATTCGGCATTTTCCAATATTTTTCAAGTCTGATTTACCCGAAGCTGAAAAATACCAGGTTTTGTTTTTTGTTTTGTTTTTGCACGCCCCTAGTAATTTAGTTTGACCTTGCCAGCACACAGGCCCATGCAAGGTGTATATGCTTTACTTTTGCAATAGGGAATCCCCCCTTCTTTGACTCTCCCGCTTTATCTAAGCCTACTTAGAATTCTTGGGCAAGGGCATATTTTAGGTTAGACTAAATGTCCTGCCAGCTTCAGAGCATGGGATGCTTTACCAAAACTATATTCTTGCTAGTGTTACTGTGCACCTGGAGTAATAAAGACCATAGATCATCATATCTTATTCTGTGATTGATGGATACCACTCAGAGACCTCCGGATTACACTTGTCCTATGTAAATAGCTGTCAGTTGAATTTCATGTGATCTCTTTTCTGTTGGCAGACACCAATCTGAAAATAATTGTTGCTAAATTTTTAGCACTTGCGGTCTCTTTAAGCTGTTACAGACATGGTTTCAATTTGCCATGCTGTATTTTAATGTTCATTCTTTTGTATGTTACTTTGTATTTGTACTGAGTTTGCTTGCGACCTTTGGTCAAAGGAATGTAATAATAAAAGGAAAGGACAAATTGGCTCAATAGTGATTGTCTAGCCCCTCATCCCATGACAATCCCATGACAACCTTAGTAGGCAAGTAACAAATTCTTATGTGGCCAACTCCAGTTTAAGAGATTGCAGAAATGTTTGGGCTTCACAGACATTCTGAAATCTGTTTTCCCTTGAGAAATCAAACTTTGCTTCCTTTTAACTGTGGAAGAGAAGAGAGGTGAACCTAATATCAACAAAGCTGCAAGGAATAAGAGTATTATGAACCAATAGTCTGGTTCCATCTGCAGTAGAGCACTATTTGGTGCTAACATCCAAAAATATTAACTACATCTCATTCTTTCCTTCATACAGATGGGGTTTGTTGTAAGTAATGAAATTAATCTTACACTAGATATATTTGCACATCATTAACACATTGTCTGTTGTTGAGTGGCATCTCTAACCCCCTGCAGTGTGACCTAACACTGCTTCCTTCTAAAGGGAAGTCCAGCATTTATTTACTGCTTTTTCAAGAAAATTAAGCCATAATTAATGAAAACGTACTGTTCTTATTACAGAATTACTGTACTCAAACTTCAAAATATGACCATATTATAAGTTTCTTCACTTAAATGTCTCAACTGAGGTATTTTCCCAGTTGGTTTTAAATTTAGAGAGTTCGGAGCAGGTAACAAAGGAGTACAAAAAAGAAACACAGGAGATTTTTTTTGATTTTTGCTGGAGCAGAGAGCTTTGTCAACACCCATTATCTTTTCTGTCTGGGGCCCATCACCCATTACACTCTGATGCTTAAGTGAGTTTTATGCTTACGACCTTTGGTCAAAGGAGCTTATTAATTTAGGAAAGTGCATACCTAAAAATAAGAAGTAAAGACAACAAATATAACCTGCAGGTACACTCATCAGGGAGCTGTATTTGGTAAAAGCTTCTTGTTGGGTGTAGGCTTGGTGGCTTGCCTCTCTGTAATATGTGGCACGTCCCTCCCTTGCAATTAAAAGCATTTGGTATCTTCTGCTGGGAAGACTTAACAGAAGTCCACTTTGGCCAATAAACTCATGTTTGCAGGGATAAGCTAGAAAATGGAGGCTAGTGAAACAGGACAAATTTGTAGTTGATTTAGATGTCTGTACTGAGATTTTCTAATTTACAATTCACTTCAGTAACAGTCTTAGAAAATAAATTCAGCATTTGGTAACGGTTAGTGTACTAGCTGCCAGGGTGATGCCATTCTTACACATAAGCTAGTTTAGGGCCCTCGCAGTGTATCCGCCATGACAGCTGTTGCAAAGCAAATTGACCTGTTCTTGCTGTGGTCTGTTCTCATGGCTGGCCATGTTGTGAACCACTGTCTCCACAGGCGGATTTCTCTTTTCCGAGGAGGCAGTGACAGGTTTGCCTTCATTATGTCTTGATCTAACCATGCCAAAAAGAGTTTCTTAAATAGGAGTACATAGATTTTTTTTTTGGGGGGGGGGTTGGGAAAGAGGCATTTCCTGCAGTGAGAGAACATCCAGTCTAGTTGCTTATTCTAAAATCTCCCTGGAGACGCAGAAGTCCAGTAGCTGCTGTTCAGGGAAGCATTACACTTCAGTACACAGCCTGTACAGTCCGATGGAATTCATATGGAGCAAATACGATCAGATCTTTGACACTTGCCTCTCCAGCTATGTAAGAACACTAAATACTTTCTAAAATCCAGGTTTAATTATCTTCCTCTTCCTCATGCTATGTAGTTTTCTGTAGCTCCTTGGTTCAAGGTTTCATGTAGCAACCAGGATTGCTTTATTCCATGTGGGGAATATCTTGTGGCTTGAAAGCTGCATTGAAGATTATTTTATACAGGTGCATTTTTCCCCGTTTACTTGTGACAAACTTCACTGCCTTATACATAATTATGGTCTTAGAAACTCCATTAGGATTGCCTGGGCTGGATTCTGGCTCTTTCTAAAACGTGCAGGCATTGTAGAGGCTGGGGCACAAATAGGAGATTGTTGTCATTAATGGCTAACATTCTGCTGTAGCTTTGAAGATCGTTTTTAACCTTGCCCACCTTGAGACAAACCTGTGTCAGAGTATTTTTGCAATATGTAATTAGGCTTTGCTTCTTCAGAGCTAATTATTAAAAAACAAACCTTATCACATTTGGGTACCATAGTAAGTGTCGCTTACTTCTTAACTTAATTCTAAGGTGTCAGGGGTGCAATGTAAATGACATGCCAATAATTATTTGATTAGTCACACTGCCTTTTGTACTGTCCCCCTCCCCCCAACCCCAGTAGCTAAAATGAACACAGCTTCTTTCTCTAGTCATTGGATATTCATCTATCCAAGAACACTCTTTGAGTTTTAAATGCATCTGCCATAGTACAGAAATTTTTTCCCCCTGATTGAAAATGCAGTTTAGTTGCTTCGCTTTCATAGTTGTGTGTACCACATAGCAGTAACTGTAGGAACAGACACACCAGTAGTGTATTGATACAAGTTTCTTTTCTACCTAGCAAAAGGAGAGGCAGCGTTTGGAGAATTTAAAGAAAAAAGAGGAAGCTGAGCAGCAGAGGAGACAGAAAGTGGAGGAAGAGAAAAGACGGCGACTGGAAGAGATGAAGCGGTATATGTATATATTCATACTCCCTTCCTGTTGATCTTTTTCTAGTTTGTTTTTGAATTGCTTCTAACTGGATTCTCTCCTGTGGCATCAGGAAGCGTGAGGAACGCCTTCGCAAGGTGCTGCAAGCTCGTGAGCGGGTAGAGCAGAGGGAAGAGGAGAAGAAAAAACTTATTGAGCAAAAACTTGCCCAGCATAATGAGAAGGTACATTCAAATGTGGCTCACAATATAAGGAATGGCTAGGCGGGGGGTGTCTCTAGAGTAATGGACAAAGTTCTAAGATGCGAGTAATGTGATGTCTTGGGCTGGTCCTTGTGAAAAGCCCTAAGGGTTTTAACTAGCAAGCTCGTTTTCAGAGTTTCAGACTTAGGTCTCTTGGTGTAGAGAGCCAGCTTGGTGTAGTGGTTAAGAGCCCTGGACTCTAATCTGGGAAACCAGGATTGATGTCCCACTCCACATGAAGCCAGCTGGGTGACCTTGGGCCAGTCACAGCTCTCTCAGAGCTCTCTCAGCCCCACCTACCTCACGGGGTAGGGTGTCTGTTGTGGGGGGAGGAAGGGAAGGCGATCCTTTGAGTAGCGAAGAGCCAGGGTATAAAACCAACTCTTCTTATCAGCCCAACAAACCATTCCCCCACCCCTGTTACCTCTGACAACATTAGAACAGTAAATCTGTCAGTCGTCTTGAGTTTATAATTATCAAGGCTTTCAAATGCCGAGTTGGGTACAGAGGAACTTTGCACAATATGTGCAGGGGGAAATTTGGTCTATTTAAAGGCAAAAGATGTATGAATAACCTCTTTTAGGTACAAGAAGAGAAAATGGCAGAAGAAAAAGTGAAAAAGACTGCAGCTGGCAAGAAAGCTGAAGAACTTGAAGCCCGTAAACAGAGAGCTCTGCAGCTGGTAAGGCAAAAGTTGTTCAAACAAAGGAGAGAGACAAAGAGAGAGAGAGACAGAGATAGAGACAGAAAAGAACCCCGAGTAACTTCTTCCCATTTCCTGAATTCAAAGTCATGTGGCTGCACAGATGAGGTTGGTTTACACGTTTGTGAATTCACTCTGAACTACATAGTTTTATCGTAGTAACTAAAATGAGCCATGCATAACCCTTTCTAGAAGCTTGAACTCATCAGAAATGTTCTACCCCTCATGATTAGAAGCAGCATCAGAATTCCCAGGGCAAGACTGTTTGACTGGAAGACTGTAAGTCCCTGTAACTTCAAATGGCTGAACTGTAAACCTGATTTCACATTTAAGATGATGCTGTGGATTTCAGGCTAGGAGTCCCCAGGTAGATAGTGCTGTGGAGGCTCTTACATGCCGTCTGGTCATGACCTGTCAGTTCATTAAACTCAGACCAGTTGGCTCATATTCTCTGCAACATGCTTGACAGCAGCCATCCTCTTTTCTACTTTGCAGGAAGAAAAGCGCAGACAACAGGAACTGATGCAGAAGAAAAAGGAGGAGGAGCAAGAGAAAGCTAGGCACGCTGCAGAACTGGAAAAAAAACTGGCTGCTGAGAGGGAGCTCGAGAAAAAGAAGCAACAAGGAAAGCTTCAATCACAGCAGTGAGTAGATCTAATCTGAAGTTTGGCATGCAAAGGAAGCAAGTAATGCTGCTCAAGCGATCACTGGGTTCAGATTGTGCCAAAGGCCACACACCCGTCTCCATTTTGTCAATGGTGCAGTGATCTGTTTTTGATTACAGGGAGCGTGAAAGGAAAGAAAAGGCTGCTCACCTGCAAAGAGAATTGGTGGCTGCTAAAGAAAAAGAGCGGCTTCAGAAAGAGGCAGAGGAGAAAGAGAGGAAACTGGTAAGCCTCGTCAGCATTTGAAATGAATTTTTTTCATTTTAGCACATTGCATGCCGATAGCTGTCATAATTTTGTTATAAGCAGCCCACAGGTTTGGGAGGTGCATTGAAAGGGAAATCGAACCTTGTCTGTATTTTTCCAGTGCTGGAAAGTAGGAACAGTGACCCTTTACCAGCATGTGGATATCTCTTTTCTATTTTAAATAGCAGGAGGAGCAGCAGAAGGAGAAATCTACTTCTGATGCAGCGGTTGCCAATAAACAACTGAATGTAACAATAGAGATACAGGTGAGCCTTGAACCAGATCTGAGATTCTAATAGCTCAGGAGAACGATGACTTTTAGATCAGACTTTGTTCTGCCAGGGGAGGGCGTGTTAACAGTAGCTAGAGTATAGCCTTATGCAGGGAAATGTATCCCCATTCCCCACACAGGCATGCACTGAGCACTTTGGTCTTTTCTTTTCTTTTTTGCTGTCAAGTTGCAGTGGATTTATGGTGACCCCATAGGATTTTCAAGGCAAGAGACATTCAGGGTTAGCTTGCCATTACCTGCTTCTGCATAGCAACCCTGCTATTCCTTAGTGGTCTCCCATCCAAATAGTAACCAGGGCTGACCCTGTTTAGCTTGGAGGTCTGATGAGACTGGGCTATCCAGGTCAAGGCTTGGTCTTTATATAAAGCCTTTTAAATCTTCCCGTGTGTTCAAGGACGTTTACTACACTGCTGACAAACAGTGCAATGATCCTACCTTCCTCCATGTAGCCTTTCTTCAGTGACTTGGGAGAAGGCTTCAGAGTTGAGCCAAAAGGAAAGGTGGGGTAAAAAACTTTGCTCAGTGGAGTGATAGGATAGGGGTAGGATGCACCCCAGTATTTCTGTTTCCAAGTCTCAAATACTTGGGATAAACTTTAGGGAACCTTTTTGGTCTTCACAATGTGAGCAAAATGCACCCTTTGAAAGAAGTATGTGGTTTCTAGATGTTCTTAACGGTTTAGGGTTTTTTAGATATATCAGCTGGTGTGTCTGTGTGTGGATAAATGATCAGCCTGTTATGTCAGGCATAAATGGAGCTTATAGGCATTAATTCTTATTCAACAGCTGCTGAAACCAGTCAGTCAAAATCCCCAAACTTTCTTAGTTACAAATCCTAACTTTTTGTGTTCATCTTCAGGCTTCCCTGCAGTCTCACATTGGGACTGCGCTTGCACAGGCCAGCCACCAGAGGCACTCTTCAAGCTACTCTGGTATTTGTTTAACACTCCAAGGGGAGCCCCTCCCCTGCAAGAGCTCATTAGAGGCCACTATGTTGTGAGGACGTGTTCTCTTTGTACCTGGTTGTTGTGAGTTTTTCTTGAAGTTTTCTTTTCTTCCTGGGAACTTTCCCCTCTTTGGGAAATGTCACAGAGGGCTTTGTTTAAAAAACATATCCAGTGCAATACAAAAATTACCCATTCAGATGAACACCTTTTCTGCTTGGGTGAAGCTGATAACATAGCCACGTGCAAGATTTGCCTCCGATTTACCCCGAAAGCCCACTCAGATTAAGCAACATGCTTAAAGGCAAACTTATGGGAGAAAGCGTTCCCTTGCTCTAATAGCACAGCAATGGAAACATCTGCCCTGGCAGAGCACAGTCAATCCTTCCCTTAGAACCAAGCAACTTGTGAGCCCGCCATCAAGCATCTCAGTTCCGAGGACAGGCCCAAAGCCTTGGGTCCGATGGCTTGCTCGATCAGCTGAATGCTGTGTATCGAAACCCCCTGCCTAAGAAAGCCCACTCTAAATCCAAACATAGGGAGAAGCATCGCTCCAGTTCCAAGACGCTCCCGGAATTGATTAACTCTTCTGTTCCAGCCAAACCGTCTTCAGTTTCAATGGAATGACACTTCAAAAGCTGCTGTAGATTTTTATAAAAGACACAAATATTGTAAATGTCATGTGTTTTATTAGCTAGACTAGGAAAAAGGCTCGTATTTCCACAACGGCCTCTAGAAAGAGGCTCTGGGTGGGTGCCCCGGCCTTGGACACTCAGTGTCAATTTGCTGTGGCGACCTCAGCAGGGTATAATGACACTGAGTCCACCATTTTCTCCAGAGGAACTGATCTCTGCTACCTAAAGAACAGTTGTAATTTTGAGTGATCTCCAGCCCTCACCTGGAGATTGGCAACAATGGTTCCCCAGAAGGGAATGGTTGGTTTGGAGGGTGGAGTCTATGGCTTTGTACCTGTCCGAGGTCCCACGCCTCCTGAAACCTCATCCTCTCCAGGCTCCATCCCTCACATCTCCAGGAATTTCCCACCTGGAGTTGGCAACCCTATCTTCTTCCCAGCCAATCATCAACCTACCTTTATTTCCCTCTCACTCTTCAGCTTTCCACCCCCCACACACCTGCAGCCTCTCCCGTGCTCTGAAGCCCTGACTGCTACGTCACATTGGCTGTCATATGGGGGCCACCTCAGCAGCATATAAGGATACAGAGCCCACCATTTTCTCCAGGGGAACTGATCTCTGCCATCTGGAAAGCAGTTGTAATTCTGAGTGATCTCCAGCCCTCACCTGGAGATTGGACACATTTTACCTCAGAACAGCAAACTGTTTAGACTGTTAGAGGCAAAAGCCAATCAAGTTGCATATGCAAACGACCTCTGTGTTCCGAGGCAAAGGCCAATGAGGCTGCAAAGGCAAATGACCTCTGTGTTCTGACTGGCTATGGGGGGGGGAGGGGAACAGCAAACTGTTTAGAATGTTGGAGGCGAGACTCAAGCAATGCAGCCAGTGGATAAGGGACAGATTCTGAGTGACACACCAGGGCGCCAACCAATTCGGAGCATGTGGAATTTTCTAGAGAAGTGGGTTTTATACATAAGGGAGATGACTGAAAAAATAAACTGTATATCTTCTTCGTGGTCTCTGTGCATCACACCCTTGGGATATACTGCGCCTGCGCTGACCTTCTCGGTACCGGTAGCTAGCAAAAGGGATTTTCGCGCCTCTCCCAGGTCACGCGCCGGCTCCACTGCGCATGACCAAGGAGGGGCACGCAGATCCCGCCAGTTCCTTCTGACCGCCGCCCAACAGCCTTCAAAGAAACAAGATGAAGGGCCGAGAGCAGAGGGGAAGGAGGGCGGGTGGTGTGAATGCACAGATGACCACTCGAAGATCACCAGTTACAGGTAAGCAACCTGTCTATCTTCTTCGTGGTCTCTGTGCATCACACCCTTGGGAGAATAGCAAGCAATAACTCTTACCTGGAGGAGGGGCCGAGGCCCTACACCTGCGCCGTCTGCAAAATAGACCGACCCAACGCCACACGACGAGTAGACCGGACATCAAGGGCATAATGCTTCACGAAGGTGAGCGGAGTAGCCCAAGTCGCAGCGTTGCAGATGTCCTCCAATGGCATCCCTCTCAGGAAAGCTGTGGAAGCCGCCACCGCCCTTGTAGAGTGGGCGCGAAGTTGACCTGGAAGAGGTCTCTTAGCCAAAGCGTAACATAGCTTGATTACTTCCACAATCCACCTGGACAGCGTCTGGGAAGAGATCTTCTTCCCTAGGGAGGGCATACTGTGAGCAACAAACAAGGCTGGAGACTGACGAAAAGACTTGGTCCTGCCCAAATAGAACAGCAACGCCCTCTTAACATCCAGAGAGTGCAATTTCCGTTCCTCTTCATTGGCAGGAGACGGGAAAAATGACGGCAAAACTATATCTGAACGTAGATGAAACTCCGAAACGACTTTCGGTAAGAAGGAGATGTCCAAAGACAACGACACCCCATGAGGGGAAAAAATCAAGTATGGTGGATCACACCTTAAAGCAGACAACTCACTGACTCGACGAGCAGAAGTAATGGCCACCAGAAACGCAGTCTTGAGCGATAACAACTTTAGAGAGCAAGTGGCCAGTGGTTCGAAGGGTTTTCCCATCAAAAACCGCAAAACTAAAGCCAAATCCCAGGCCGGAGTCGGAGAACGACGGGGAGGGTACAGGCGAATAAGACCTTTACAAAACTGTTTCGTCTGAGGATGCGAGAAAACTGAAAACCCATCAATAGATGGATGAAAAGCTGACACCGCAGCTAAATACACCTTAACTGAAGAAAAACTGAGTCCCAAGTCCATTCTGGACAAAATAAACGCAAAAATAGACCTCAAATCCACTGGCGGAGGAGGTAAATTGGAAGAACTCAAGTACTGTAGGAATAAATCCCACTTCTTTGCGTAAGACGTCCTAGTAGACAGTTTACGACAATTCAACAGGACCTCATTGATACGGTCATCCATCACTGAAAGCGTATTTCCCATAGAGTCAACTTGAGACTCAGAGGATCGTAGTGAAGGACCTGGCCTTCCTGAGCTTGGAGGAGATCCAACTCCTGCGGGAAGTGTACGAAGGATCCCTTGGCTAACCGCAGCAGTGTCGGAAACCACACCTGCCGAGGCCACCAGGGGGCTACCAGGAGACAATGGGGCTTGTCCTGTTGTATTTTCACAAGCACCCTGTGGAGCAGCGGAATCGGAGGAAATAGGTATAGAAAGTCGTGAGCCCACGACATCAACAGACCGTCCCCCATTGACAGAGGGTCCAACCCCGCTCTGGAGCAAAACCTGGGACACTTCTTGTTCAATCGAGTTGCAAAAACATCGATGTGGGGATGTCCCAGATGTTGAAAAAGAGGAAGGAGATACTTTGAGTTCAACTCCCATTCGTGGTCCGATGCTCCCCCTCTGCTCAGGAAATCCGCTTGTTGGTTCAAAGTTCCTGGCAGATGGGCAGCTTGGAGAGTGATGTTCCAATGAAGGCACTCTTCCCATATGTCCATAGCTAGCCTGCAAAGGGACCTGGACACGGTCCCGCCCTGGCGATTGATATAAGCCATCGCAGTTGTGTTGTCCGTAAAAATCAACACAGCTTTTCCTACAACCTGTCTGAGTAAGGATCTGAGGGCAAATTTTACGGCCAGCAGTTCCAGATAGTTGATATGATGACTCTTCCAAAGGGGTTGCCATGGAGCACCCACACAAGTGTCGTCTGTATGAGCACCCCAACCCCACAGGGAGGCATCTGTGGTGATGGACATTACGGGAACGATCGGTTGGAACGGTGCACCCGCCAACAGATTGGTGTCCACGAGCCACCACTGCAGGGAGACGAGGACCTGCGGAGGCACTACCAGTTGAAGGCTCGGAGGATGGATGGAAGGGCGAAATTTCTTTAGAAACCACAGCTGCAACGGGCGCATGCGAAGGCGTGCATATTCGATCACGGAAGTGGTGGCTGCCATGAGACCCAAGATCCGCTGAATGTGGACCGCTGATGTCACGTTGGACTGGAACAAACGTTGAATTTCCAGACGAATGGTATCTGCCCGTTGGCGAGGAAGGTACGCCCGAGTGGCTAGGGAGTCTATGACAGCTCCTATGAACTGCACGCGAGTTGCAGGTTGCAGCATGGATTTCTGTAAATTCACCAGAATTCCAAGGGAGGATAGGACCGACAATGTGATGGTGATGTGCTGAAGGAGACATTCTCTTGAATCTGCCACCATCAACCAGTCGTCTATATACGGAAAGATCTGAATGCCCTGAAGGCGAAGATGAGCGACGACAACCACCATTACCTTCGTAAAAACCCTGGGGGCGGTAGAGAGCCCGAATGGAAGGGCTTTGAATTGGTAATGGTCCTCCCCGACTGCGAATCTGAGGAACTTTCTGTGACGAGGATGGATGGAGACGTGAAAATAAGCGTCTTTGAGATCTAAAGTGACCATCCAAGTCCCTGGAGACAGGAGTGGTAAAATGCTTTGCAACGTGGTCATGCGAAACTTTCTGTAAATGATGAACCGATTGAGAAAACGAAGGTCCATGATTGGACGAAGTCCTCCGTCCTTCTTGGGGACCGTGAAATATTTGGAATAAATCCCGCGGCAACAATCCGCCATCGGGACTTTCTCTATAGCGTTTTTTTGTGTCAGCGATTGTACCTCCTGTAGCAGGGCAGGAGACGCCGGGGTTCTGATAAAACGGGAGATTTTGGGAGTCAGAGAAAACTCTATGAGATAGCCATCTCTTATTATAGAGTGCACCCATTTGTCCGTAGAAATGGCGAGCCATGCGTGCAGGAAGGGTGCAAGGCGAGTCTGAGCAGTAAGGTTGAAGTCAAAGTCCCTGTTTGGGATTCTTAGGGAATTTCGACTTATAGGCACCGGACGATTGTCCCTTATTTTTCGGGGGAAAAGACCGTGACTGAGAGGGAGGTCTTTGCCATTGATCCGTAGGTGATTTGTTGTACGGTTGCCTGGTCGACCAAGGTTGCCTAGGCCACTGCTTGGATTTCGAGTATTTGGTCGTGGGGGAGATCCCCAAACTCTTGGACGTCTTGATACTCTTATCCATTTCCTGCAGAACCGTGTCAGTGGTGGAGCTAAACAATCCAGAACCTTCAAAGGGAAGGTCTTCCACCGAGGATCTGGTGTCATATGGCAATGATGAAGAGCGGAGCCAGGCATGTCTGCGTAACGCTACAGAGGTTGCTAGAGTCTTACTAGCGGATTCCAGGGAATGCTTGGCAGCACTAATTTGGTGTCTAGCCAAGACCATCCCTTCATTCTGAATCCTTTTAATCTGAGGTTGGCACTCTTTGGGCACGTGCGGGAGGAAATCATTCAAACGCTTCCATAAATTGAATTGATAACGGCCCATGCAGGCGGCATAGTTCGCCGTTTTAATGCCCATTGCACCGACAGTGTAGAATTTTCTACCAACCGAATCCAACTTTTTTCCTTCTTTGTCTGATGGAGTAGAGTGGCTCGCTTTTCCTTTCGTGGACGAGGAAACGACCAAAGAATTGGGCTTAGGATGTGTGTATAAAAACTCAGCCCCTGATTCCTGGACCTTGTACATGTGATCCAGACGCTTATTAGAGACATTAATGAAGATCTCTTCCCAGAGGCTGTCGAGATGGATTGTGGAGGTGATCAAGCTATGCTACGCTTTGGCTAAGAAACCTCTTCCAGGTCAGCTTCGCGCCCATTCTACGAGGGCGGTAGCAACTTCCACAGCTTTCCTGCGAGGTATGCCGTTGGAGGACATCTGCAACGCTGCGACTTGGGCTACTCCGCTCACCTTCGTGAAGCATTATGCCCTTGATGTCCGGTCTTCTCGTCGTGTGGCGTTGGGTCGGTCTATATTGCAGACGGCGCAGATGTAGGGCCTCGGCCCCTCCTCCAGGTAAGAGTTATTGCTTGCTATTCTCCCAAGGGTGTGATGCACAGAGACCACGAAGAAGATAGACAGGTTGCTTACCTGTAACTGGTGATCTTCGAGTGGTCATCTGTGCATTCACACCACCCGCCCTCCTTCCCCTCTGCTCTCGGCCCTTCATCTTGTTTCTTTGAAGGCTGTTGGGCGGCGGTCAGAAGGAACTGGCGGGATCTGCGTGCCCCTCCTTGGTCATGCGCAGTGGAGCCGGCGCGTGACCTGGGAGAGGCGCGAAAATCCCTTTTGCTAGCTACCGGTACCGAGAAGGTCAGCGCAGGCGCAGTATATCCCAAGGGTGTGAATGCACAGATGACCACTCGAAGATCACCAGTTACAGGTAAGCAACCTGTCTTAGCGCCACTGAAATGTGAAGGCAAAAGTTCTGCCAAACATCTAGTGTAAATTCTGCCAGCAAGCAGGAATTTTTGTCTCCGTGTGCCCAAACTTGGTCTTTGTATAGATTCTGCAAGCAGATGCTTATATGAGCATCTGCTTTCTGTGTGCTTTAATTGTAAGAGCTAAAAGGCATCCTTTCTTGCCTGCACCACAGTCAGTTGCCATATTTATGCACATTCTAAAGTAAGGTTCCTTCCCTCCTCTATTCAGTTCTTGGTAATAGCAGCTCTAGAAACCACAAGAGCCTTGCCCCATGCCACTTGCTCTGTCAGTTCTGTAAGTAAGTAGTGAAAGAAAGCACTTCAGGAGAGCAATTATTTGGATGTATTTACTGCAGGTGTAGCTTCATAGCTGTTGAGAGAGCAAGTTACCACTAAGGGCAAGGTTTCCACAAAAGAAGCAATTTTTCTTGCTGTAGTCCTTGGATCAAAACTGGTACATTTTTGAAAGGAGAGAAGAAATTGTCAAAGTATTTCATGCCTAAAAGTCTTTGTTGGGATTATGTTTTTATCGGCCCATTCTTCAAGAAGCTCAGGGTGGTCTCTGTCACGCCGTCTAGCCATTATTCTACATTGGAGGTTGAGCTTCCTATTACAGTTTCTGCACTAGCTATAACTTCCACCTCACAATTTTTTCCAGAACTCACCTTCCTGCAGCTCATACCCAATGACACCACAGGGTCCCAAGCATCCAAAGTTTGACGTAAATAATTATGGGATGGATCTGAATAGTGATGACTCCACCGATGATGAGAGCCAGCCCCGCAAGCCCATCCCTGCTTGGGCTACTGGTATGTTTGAATCCATTTGTGTGTCCTTTGCAAATCAGTGTTGGTAAATTGCCGATGTAGACTTTTAGCCTGTTCCTAACTATGCTTTCTTGAATAGAAACCTGAGTTCAGTGAAACATGACTTCTACTAGGTGTGGTTAAGGCTTACCACCTTGCTTAGTTGAATTAGTATGGTTTAGCCTTAACGATGTGTCCGGAGTCTGGATATTTCAAATGTTTAGTAGCTAGTGAGTTTTCAGTCTCTCAGTGGTTGTTGCCATGGGAAGGGGGTGGGGCTACAGATGGGACATCCTTTCCAGGGGTTCCCTCCCTTTCCCTTGCACCCTTCAGCCTTGGAGGAGTCAAGGGCCCTCTGGCTCTTGGGCTTTACTAGAGAGGGCCCAGAGCACCATCCCTGTCCTGCAGGCAACCCTTTTTTCCCCCCGTCAGGGCATGTCCTGATTTTGAGGTCTGGTATTTTGAACCTGAAAAATACTGGTATTTTCCAATATTTTTGGATCCCAATATCGGTATGGTATTTGGATTTGGGAAATATTTGGGTAACCAATTTTTTTCTGCCTTCATTGTACCCTATAGGGACCATTATAGTCAATGGTCCCCATAGGGTATAATGGAGAATCAATCCGGGGGCATCAGGGCTCGGGGGTTGTTTTTTGATGTAGAGGCACCAAATTTGCAGCATAGCTGCTGGTGCCTCTCTAAAAAAAAAAAACCCTCGAGTCTCAAAACGATTTGACCAGGGGGTCCAATTCTGTGGGCTCCCAAAGAAGGTGCCCTCATCCTCCATTGAAATCAATGGAGGGGGGGAAAGGTATTTAAAGAGATCATGGTCCCTTTAAATGCCTTCTCCAAGCTGCGGAACTATGCAGCTTGGAAAACTTTGAAGGCATTTAAAGGGCTCACAGTCCTTTTAAATGCCTTCCAGGTGAACTCGCCAGCCCAAGCTTGGCCGGGGTAGCATGGAGCTGTCAGCTCCTGCCGTCCCCTCCAATCCTGGGCTGCCTTGTCTCCTCTTTTCAGTTTGGTTTAAACTGAGCTACAAAGAGGATCCTGCCCAAGATGGCACGGAACTGTCAGCTCCCTCCAATCCTGGGCTGATTCCGCATTGCAGCCAAGGGCTCTCCGTGCAGGCTCAGCTGGGGCTCTGCTGGGCAGCCCGATTTAAACCATACTGCCGAACAGAACCGCCCCCATCCTCCAATGGATGAGGGGAAGGCATTTAAAGAGATCGCAGTCACTTTAAATGCCTTTTGCAAGCCGCGAGTAAACTTTAAAGTGGCGAGTTCACGCAGAAGGTGTTTACAGGGACTGCGATCCCTATAAACACCCTTTACCTTTAGCTATCCACCGGTCCCGAAAAATCCTGAATATTTTCAAGATGTTCAATATAGGGTATTTTGGGGGTATTTTTTCAGTTTGGTTTATAGCGCACATTCCTAGTCCTGATGTGCGGCCAAATGTGAGGCATGAGGGACCCAGGCAGAGTAAATGAGAAACAGTTTACCTAACTGTTGCCATATTTAATACATAGGAAAACAGTTTTAAAAATGGGGCAGAATTAATATAGGTACTCTACAACCTCACAGGGCAAAACTCTCACAGAAAGAAGCTGGCTAGAAAACAAAGCTCCCTAATGCAACTGCCTTACTTAGTTCCTATTCCAATCCCTATACCTAGTCCTAGTAGGCTGGACTCACGAGGCGACGGATCGACTCCCTCCAGAAGCCAACCTCACTGCCGCTCAGCTTCAGGGGGTGAACATCTTCCCTCCCTGTGCAGAGTCTTGTACACTCTCTCTCCCTCCAAGTTCTTCCTCATCAGCGATGGACTTCTGCTTTTCCTCATTTCCCCCCAGTGGTTGGGAACGCAGGCTTATTGGGAAATTTAAACAAAGGGCCTCAGGCATTTGTGGAAGAGAGGCTTCCTTGAGCCCCACAGGCTGCTCATTCTTCAGCCTTAGGCCTAGGATCATTACAGCTGTATTTTCTCACATGGTGTTACACATGTGGATATATAACTTCAGCACTTCTGTTGTACTTGTGGGACCTGCATTGAACTGCTTGATAGAGGAGCAAAAATATACCTTAAACTGAGTTGGGAGACTGAGGGAGTCACTTTTTAGTTTCCTTCCATGTGCTTTAAGAGCTTTGAGATTGCCTGTTGAATTTTTTTGATAGACCGGAAACAAATATTTTGTGCTTTCTCTCTCTCCCCCCCCCCCTTTTTTTAGGAGATCAACTAACCCAGGCCATCATCCGCCAGTATTTTAAGCCTCCTGATACTGATGCATTCTTTGGGGTTATTAAAAGTCCCAATCTGGAAGAAATCTTCTATAAAAGCAAGCCACGTTACCAGAAGCGTACTAGTTCTGCAGTATGGAATTCACCACCATTCCAAAGTGGCAAATCTACGGCAGGGCAATCGTGGCAGAGCTTAAAGAGATGGTGAAGGTTTCTTGAGATTCGATGTAGTAATTTTGTGGGAGGGAATTTTTACTTTTAAACATATTTACTTTTCTTTGAACAATAATAAACATTTCTGCTCTGTGTGAGCACTTAATGCACTGTCTTCTTTATGTTTATATGTTGTTTCTCCAGGAACCTGCCCTGTGTTTGAAATGTATGTGTGGGGCAGTGTTTCCTCTAAGCTGAGTTAGTGTGAGCTAGCTCAGTTTTTTAGCCTCCAGCTCACACATTTTTGTCTTAGCTCAGGAAGGAGGGCTCCAGAGGAAACTGATTTATGCAGTAACCAGATGACTCGCTCACAACTTTTTAATGCCAGCAGCTCACCAAGTAGGATTTTTGCTCACAAGACCCCACAGCTTGGGGGGGGGGTGCTGTGGGGAATCGCAAGAGGGGGCCAGTAGTTTGGGGATTCCACCTATCTGCCAAAACCTCCCCCTTTTAGCTCTGGCATTTGAGCAGGCTGATCTCCTCCCCGTTCCCCCAGCTATGCTCAACTTTCTGTGCTTACTGAATTGTGTTTGGTTGTTATTTTGTAGGTTTGGGGTAGGGGGTAATGATGACAATTGTATTTTGCACACCCAGATTTCTATTTGTGGTTATTAGGTTCTAGTGGGTCTCTCTGTGGGTGGCCTGCTTTTGCTGCTTTAGGATAGGCACAGGGCCAGCAGTTTTATTGCTAACATGCAATGATTGGTACATTTGACAGGTCTATGTACCTTACTGATCTGCCACTACATTGATGCTTCAATCCCTGCGTACAATACAGTGCAGAATTAGGCGCACCTGAGCCTTTTGATTTCAGTTGGCTTAGCATCTAACTTTGCATAGGATCAGACTGCTAATACAGATTGCCTCTTTATGGAAATTATATGGAGCATCAGCGATGTGTGCACAGAATCACAAGTTGATTATTTGACCAGATATGTTCTGTACAAAAGGCTTGTACGTTATCTAATACTACTTTGTACACACTGAATGGGGGGAGGAAGACAGACTTCAATTTTCCCATCAATTTTTAGAAGCAGATACTCTGTAGTTTTATACTGCCAGACAAACCTCTTCACTTCTGTCATAACTAGGGGTGTGCACAAAAAAACCCTGGTATTTTTTAGGTTCAGGTCACCCTGCCAACAAAAGTCCGCATGGTCAAAGCAATGGTATTCCCAGTAGTCATGTATGGCTGTGAGAGTTGGACTATAAGGAAGGCCGAGCGCCGAAGAATAGATTCTTTTGAACTATGGTGCTGGAGAAGACTCTTGAGAGTCCCTTGGACTGCAAGAAGAACAAATCAGTCAATCCTCAAAGAAATCAACCCTGACTGTTCCCTGGAAGGCCAGATAATGAAACTGAAGCTCAAATACTTTGGCCACCAAATGAGAAGGGAGCACTCACTGGAAAAGACCCTGATGCTGGGAAAGATTGAAGGTCAAAGAAGACGGGGACGGCAAAGGATGAGATGGTTAGACAGTGTCAGCGATGCAACGAACATGAAATTGAGCCAACTTCGGAGGACGGCGGAAGACAGGAGAGCCTGGCGGGAGATTGTCCATGAGGTCGCGAAGAGTCGGACTCGACTGTGCGACTGAACAACAACAAACCAATATACCCGAATCCAAATATTGGTGAGATATTGGCATTTGGGAAAAATTGGTAATGCTGAATATATTCAGCACCATTATACTCTATGTGGAAAGTCCCCATAGAGTATAGAAGAAGAAGAAGAAGAGATTGGATTTATACCCCGCCCTTCACTACTGAAAGGTGTCTCAGGGCAGCTTACAAATGCCTTTCCCTTCTCCTCCCCACAACAGGCACCCTGTCAGGTAGGTGGGGCTGAGAGAGCTCTTGACAGAAACTGCTCTTTTTCAAGAACAGCTGTACCAGAACTATGGCTTGCCCAAGGTCATCCAGCAGGTGCAAGTGGAGGAGTGGGGAATCAAACCCGGCTCTCCCAGATTAGAATCCACGCACTTAACCACGACACCAAACTGGCACTGGAGCCTTTCCTTCCCCAGCACCCTACCTCTGGTCAGTTTCACTGCTGGCAGATCAGCTGGGAAGTGAAACTGACCAGGGGAAGCAGCTGGGCAGTGGAGGAAAGGAAGATTCATGGGGGGAGGCATGTTTAAATGCCCCCCTCCCTTCCCCAGGGATGCGGGGCACCTGGGAAACCCAAGTCTAAGCAAGCTGCCTTCTCTTCAGAGATCAGCTTGCCTGGGCTCCCCAAGGCTGTGGGGTGCCTGGGGAACCCAAGAGGAAGGCAGTTTAAGCTGCCTTCCCTCCAAGGATCAGCTTCCCCAGGCTGCAGGAGCCCGGGGAAGGGAAGGGCAGAGATGATCAGTTTCAGTCAACTGAAGCTGACCATTGCCTTCCCTCGCCGATCGGCTTTTATTCAGGAACACCTTATTGGCAGCCAAATCAGATTAGAAAATCTGATTCGCCTTAACAAATACCTGAAAAATACCAATAAGGTATTTTTGGGGTATTTTTTTCAGTTCGGTAAAGCTACATGCACACCCCTAGAACCCATACCCTTTTAATTTTGTGTATTGTTTTTCAAAGTGTAATTAATGTGTATAAAGAATACATGTGAATGCTCATTCAGCTTTCCAGCCAAGGTTCAGACAAAAACCTTGTATAAAAACACTACAATTTGAACAGATATGGACTTCCTGAATCAGGTCTTTAGGCATATTTGAATTCTGTGGTTCTGCCACTTCATTTTTTCCCCACACAACAGAAAAGGGGGAAAAGAGCAGGGGGGGGGGGAGACTTGAAATCCAGCAACTAAATAAGATCTTTTTAAAAAGAAAAACAAGATACGTAAAGACAAAAAGGTAACAATGGTGGTGGTGGATCAACAAAAGTTATTATAAACAGTTTCCAAATATTTAAAAATAAGTCCATATGCAATTGCTGTTTATATGCCATGCGTTCAAATACTGATCGAATTCTAAGCTCTTCAGTCCATTGAATTCACTGGAGCTGGGCTTCTATCTTTCCAGTGTTGTAATATGAGTCTTAGCTGTAGTAAGGGCACAGGCAGAAGTATGGTAGATCTGCATTGAAAGGGAATGCCAGTTGAAGGCATCCATAGGCAAAGCAGCAGATGCAAGACCATGCCAAAGTGGCAGCGCTGGGCTTTTGAGGGTAGCTTAGTCCCCACCCAGCAAACTTCATTACACAATTGACATTTAGAAGAAGAGGCTATTCTCAGAAATGGTTTTCTGTGACCTTGGCTTCCACTATTACACCCTCCTCCTTAAGTGTCAATAGTGGAAGCGTGATCTCTGCCAAGAACAAACATAATACCTAAGACTCGTCCTTCAAGAACAATTGCAGTAAGGATTTTGCTGAGATATTGATACAGCTTGAGCAAATGAGGAACAACAGCACAGGTTTGGATGGAAATTAAAGAGAAACTTTAGAAACCTTGTCACAGGTAACTGATCAAAATTGCAGAATAATGAGATATAGGGACACACTTGTTAGATTTCGGCTGTGGTCAAACGAGCAGTTTGCGCTGATATCGTTCTGGTACCTTTGCGGATGTAAAGAGCATGACCAGACAACAACATTTGCTTTCCATGCCCCCGTTGTCGGCACCCGGGTCCAGCGCATCCTGGAAGCTTAGTTTGCGAACACCAGGGGAAGTTCAGTCTTTAGGTATGCCAGCACTTCCACCCCGCATTGCTCAATGTCTGAACCCCACCCCACCCCCCATTGCGAAGTCAAGCCATTTGGGAAGTCTGAACCTTCCATTTCCTCCTCCTCTGGGTTTGACCAGGTAGCTATGTGTGCATAAGCACGTAACCACCCCTGGTGTTGTCAATCACCGTGGCTAAGTAGTCGTTCTGGATCAAAAGGCCCCGGGGGGGGGGGAGCAACAAATCCCCCCCCCACCCCTCTCCCCCATTTCTGCATCAGAGTTGCTTTTTGAGAGCATTCCATGATTGACACAAGGGTAAATGCACTGAAGTCAATGGGACTACTCTCCTGTAAATCTGCACCTCCCCCATGTATTCCACAGAAGAGAGGTGAAGGGAAGGAGGCTGAGAGGGGCTGGAGTACTTGGCAGAGGGATTGTGGCGCTGGAGATTCGGACACACGCTTATGGATGTGGCTGAAAGACCAAAAAAAAAAAGATGTTGCAATGATCTGAATGATCGACCATGGTGCGAGTGCGTGGTGAAGTTGGTTCAGGGTGGGGTGTCTGATTAAAACTTCCCACAACTATGTAAACCACTGCAAATACAGGCGCAGCCAGATTGCGCCCAGCCCCAAGTGTGATTGCAGCTTTAGAAGAAGAGAAGAGATTGGATTTATACCCCGCCATTCACTTGGAGTCTCAGAGCGGTTTACAAACTCCCCTCCCCTCCCCTCCCCACAACAGACACCCTGTGAGGTGGGTGGGGCTGAGAGAACTCTGACAGAAACTGCTCTTTTTCAAGGACAGCTGTGCCAGAGCTTGTGACTGACCCAAGTTCACTTCAGTAGGTGCAAGTGGAGGAGTGGGTTTGGAGTGGGGAATCCAACCCGGTTCTCCCAGATTAGAGTCCGCACACTTAACCACTACACCAAACTGGCTCTCCAGTAAGAGAGCTCTCACACATACACCACACTGTGTTAAGATGGAAGCCCTGGAGAACTGCTCTCATCACTCTAACCTCTGCTTAAGAGGCCCAACTTAGACTGAAGGTAGTGGGGCACTTGTTTTTCAAAACATTAATGCTACCTGGCATAAACTTCAGCTGGACTCTCCCACCTTAGAAAGGGCACACAGATGCTTAACAAAACCGCCTGGGAATGATGACATGCAACCTGTTGTGAAGGTTAAATTCACATTCTTTAAAACAGGACCATTAATCAGGACAAAGCGGGAGGACCACTGACTTAAGAGCTGTACCATCATTACTGTTTAGGTCGTCTCCAGATACATGTTGGAAAAGAGCCTCCTTTAGAGCTGTCACTGCACCCCTTGGAGAAGCAGACATCAGCTGCTGATGAGAATACCTGA